GTCCGTAGTGTGCGCGTCGAATGGTAAGGCATTGTTCACAGTCGCTTCTCTCAAAAGAAACGCTTTGACGAAAAGCTTTCGATACGTATCGACTGGCGGTTGGGCGAAAGGGTTTTGATACAAATCGACGGGCGTTTCGCCAAACCGCGGCGTTTTTCGCCTTCGCGAAACGCTAGCTCGACCGCCCTGGCGTTTTTTCGCCAGCGAAATCGATACGCATCTCTTGCTTTTCGTCTAACCGCTGAACCGCCGCAGTTCAGCCGTTTTGCGAAAAGCAAGAGATACGTATCGATTTCGCAGGCTCCACCCTAGCGAAAAACGCCAGGGTGGTCTTCCTTCCAACCGCTTCGCCGAACCGCCCGTCGATACGTATCGAAAGCTTTTCGCTGAAGCGTTTCTTTCTAGAGAAACGCTGGGCCGCAGACTGTGAACAATGCCTAACCCTCAGCTGACTGACAGGACATCTGCATCATCCTTATACCTTTATCGACTACCTAGTCTTGTTGCCGTTTTTGTAATACCACCTATCTACACTGTTTCTCCTTATTAGTGATCGATTGTCAGTGTCTGGTGCATACCACACTTCAAGCTATCATTCGTTGGAACTACGGACAGTGCAAGCGTTTTGACGCTGACAATATCGGAATAAAATTGAATCTTTTTTACATAGTAATGGTAAAGCAGTTTCCACCTAGTCATCTTTTATTGGCTCTTATCACTCCTTCTTCGCAAACATCTCTAAGACTCGTTCATTTTCAATTTGGATTCGGCCTTTATTTTTTTCGTTTCAGATATCTTTGGTATTGTGTATAGTGTACGCAACCATGGAGTGAGTAGGTTTGGAATTAGTTCTCTTTCTTTCATGTCAAAGTTATGTTTCAGTAACCGCGAAGACTGTGAAGACTGGAACGACACGCCAACTGCCGATGCAGGTGATTTCTCGACGGTTTCTAACACAGTTTATCGAATCGCACAATGAGTTGATTGAAATGTCAAGGGTTTTAGTGCAAGGAAACTATCATGAATTGTGAAAAAAAATATCGTGGAAATAACCTCATCCTTCAAGCAGTTGACGGGCAAATGTGATATTGTAATACAAAGTAGTTAAAACTGGGAAGTCGCGCAGCACAAAGAGAACCGAATAAAAAGAGAAGATACAACTAGTTCACCACAGGATTCGGCGCCTGCGTCTTACAAGAAGTCCTTTGCGTACGGGTGCCCGTAGCGCACACCATAGGTGTTTCCTCACCAAACGGGTGTCATATTCGTGTTCAGTGAGTGAAACTACTGGAAAGGGTTTTAGCCAGACGTAAAATTTCAAAATACCTCCGCAAAAAAATGGCAGAAATCGCTGAGATTATGGCCGCCAGTGGTTCTAGGGCCAGTCTGTTATCGATGGTTTGTTTTGAAAGGAATTTGCTTTCACGGACTGCACTCAAAATTTCGTAAAGCAACACAGCTTCTCTTGCAAGCCGACTACGTCGACTAATTACTTTTTCCGGCTGGCAGGTGAACACCACTGTCCACTCTAGACCCTCACTGAAAGTATGGACAGCGCACACAAAAGTAGATGTTCTGTTGTGAGGTGAGCCCATTGCCCCGATCTCGAACGGGTGAAGAACACTTGAGCATCATTGGCAGAAGCGGAAAGCTCCTCGAGACCTCGATCTGGACATTGATGAGTGCTTTGTAACATGATTTCCAGTACGGGCCGTAATGCTATTTGACATCGATCTTAAACATCGATGATGCTTCGCGCGTCGTGCAAAAAAGGCCGCTTACTGGGAGATTCTCGAAAAAAGTTACGAAATTGCGAAAAGCAAAAAATAAAACGAGTCATTCATCACCTAATGAGCACTATGTATGAGTCTCTATAATGTAAGTTTAGGGATTTGTTCATTGAGATGCTAAATGAGTTCCAAACCGATGGCGTAATTAACTGCTCTGTAAGTAAGCGAGAATCTTCGCATGAGTTTATCTCGCAAGGAAAGCGATGCCAAAGAATGATCTAAGATGCTCGAGAAACTAGTTAAACTACTCTAGTCTCCATTCCTTTCTCGAGTAAAGCTGAACTCAGTACGATCGCACATGATGTGACATTTACTGGCGCCAGTAAATCTTGGCGGAACACTGTGGCTGTTCATGTGCTATTACCAACTCATTCATCGTTAAGATTTTAATGACAGTTTTCATTTGTTAAATTTTCTTTTCAGACCGACTCGCATTCTCCAACCAAAGTTATAGAAATGCTAAGGAACAGGATGATGATTGGAATACAGGATCCCCTGTGGCTGCCGAAGATGATTGGGGTCTAAACAGTTACGCAGCTAACACAGGTAGTTCCAAGTTGGATATCAATACAGATTTAGGCTCCAGACGTAATTTTTGATTCCCTCGTGTATGGTGCCTTTTGCATTTTTATCTAAAAAGTTTATGAACAATACTGTATTGTTCTATATATTTCTTACCCATGTCAAGCCTTCAATTCATTTTTCATGGGTGCCAACGTAATTTAACGGGGCCCGCGTCGGCGCGGGATGTCTGCCGTGCGGAAGTATGTAGCGCGTGACTTCTGTCGCCTGCGCCCCGTTCCCCTCCCAAGACTGCAACTTCGGAGGGCACCTGCTCCCCCAAGCCGACACAGTGTTCGGGGTTGTTTGATTGTTCAAGGCAGTCATAGATGAAGAACAGGAACATAACACATCAGTCTGATGCAAAGGCGGGGCATTTTGTGCTGCAAGATGCTAAGAAACAAATGTATCTAGGGTTAGGATTCTTGCCGAGGCTTGTTATGTGCCTTCCCGTCCTCAGGACTGAGCAGTGAGCAAGGAAAGGAGATTCGAGCGCAGATGACCGGAGTCGCGTGCGGCAATCGCGCAGCGCAGATATAGGCTGCGTTCATACTTTGCAGCACGTTTTTGGCATACGCCAACGCCAGCAACTAAGAAAGTGTAGATGTCGATCTAGCGAACGCGGGCGTATGCCAGCTTTTGCCAGCGTGCAGCAGCGTTTTCGCGGGAAATTTTGTCCAAGCTCAAATTGCCTGCGAAAAGCTGGCGTACGTCAGATTGACATCCATACCTACTTAATAGCTGGCGTACGCTGATGATCGCTAGACCAATAGCTATATTTTTGTCCTTGCTGGCGCTGCCGTACGCTACACGCTGGCGTATGCTGACGCAAAGTATGAACGCAGCCACGCGCTATAGTGCGTTAGCATCATGTAGCACCAGTTAGAAATAGAGTTCTATACATACGTAATTTTATTTCCTGGGCACTGCACAGGATTTACGGCTATGGTGAAATACCTTTCAAACATACAGTCTGAGATTACTGATTTGGTCAGCATTCATTCTTAATCCCTCATCGTGGGGGATCGGTTCCATGAGCAGTTCCTGTAGGGATTCGGATTATGTTCGAAAGCTCATCTGAGTTTCTTCTGTAAAAAGCTGATGCAAAACAGACACCTTGAATCATCGAAACGGAACAAGGCCCGAATAAGAGTAATGATTTATGCGCTCACGCGCACGTCGTAACGATTCGGTTACTTCAAAAGTTTGCGAAAAGCCAGTTTTGGCTCGTAAGCGCTGCTGATCGATGCCTCGGCAGTGCCACCGTGGCCTCGTGGTAATGGTCTCGCTTTCAAGTCAAACGCATGCGGGTTTGCATCCGGTTGGCGCGAAAATTTTTGCTTCGCTCCGTATAAGAGCTTCAACTCTAATTTTCGAAATTCTTCCGAATTTACGGCCCAGCAGGGCAAGTAGATCAAGTACATCAAGTATACGACGTACTCGATCTAGTATGGATTTGGTCATATCTGCCCTCTCTGAACATATTACCCATCCGACAATTCAAAGTTTTGCCCAGAATCGCAATTTGGCCAGACGAGCGTTTTTTCGTCGAAGGATGTGATATTCGTGTTCAGGGGGTCGAAATCTCCCATGAACGAATTTCTCGCTAAAACTTTGAATTGTCGGAAAATATGTTCAGAGAGGGCAGATATGACCAAACCATACAGATCGAGTACGTCGTATACTTGATGTATTTGATCTACTTGCCCTGCTGAGCCGTAAATTCGGAAGAATTTCGAAAATTAGAGTTGAAGCTCTTATAGGGAGCGAAGCAAAAATTTTCGCGCCAACCGGATGCAAACCCGCATGCGTTTGACGAGACCATTACCACGAGGCCACGGTGGCACTGCCGAGGCATCGATCAGCAGCGCTTACGAGCCAGAACTCAAAACTTTGACCACCCAGATCTCGTCTGGGAGGTCCCCGTAGCACTTTTAATCTGCATATTCGTAATCAGCATTCGAGGCTCTATCGATGTACCTAGGTCTCCATTCAAAGTTCCATGGGAAGTTCAAACCATTCCCTTGTAAGTAGGAAACCATCGTGCCAACTGCTTTCAAAGCTGTGCAGAGTCTCGATCAAAACACAATAAGAGTTCCAGGTAGGAGAAAAAGTCCGGCGTAAGAATTCACCTTAACCAGCAAAATACGCCGTGCTCGGTTGGCGAAAACGGTTGTGGTGTTGCATGTTGTGCGGTCGGGATTCATGCTGTTTGAGAGGGCATTTCCCTCCGTGAATCCATTCGACTGTAAAGGGGGACCTTTACAGTCGAATGGATTCAAGTAGAATTGTTCTTGGCGGAGCACTGTTCTTAGAAATCTAAATTTAGTTCTGTAAGAAAAGTAACTGAAGCAGACTGATCACGCCTAATTTTGCTTTAGTTTAACTGAGACAAAACGGACTTATGAGGATATGAGCGAGTGTTTTGGGAAATCGCGGAAGAAGATTTATTTCTTGTCATTTGGTATTACACTATCACCTGATGTCCTCGATGTTTTCAGGTGGATTCACAAGCACGAGCAGCACTCGAGAAAGAGCAAGTGGAGCATTTGGTTCCAGGACTGGAAGCTTCGAAGTAAAAGAGGACGTCTTTGGAGCCGGCGATAGCGACTTCCGAAAACGCAACGCTGATTTGAGAGAAGGAAATTTTCTTGGAAGAGGCGGTGGAGTTAGAGGACGAGGGGGTAGCGCCTCTACGAGAGCGACCGGTTTTGGCTGGAATAGCGATAAATTTGGAGACGAAAAGAACGACGACAAGCCCATAAGCTCCGACGAAAGGGAAGATGGTTCATTCGGATTCAGGAGAAGTGGCTTCGGAGGGAGAGATGGTGACTTCGGCAACGACAGAGGCGATTTTCCGGGGAGGGGTGGCAGAGGCGGCAGCGTAAGAGGAAGAGGTGGCGGAACATTTGGATCCAGAAGTGCAGATTTGGAAGCAAGAGATAGTGGCTTTGGTTCTCGAAGCAATGGTTTTGGAAGTGGAGCAATCACAACTAGAGACTCGTCTAGGGGCGGGTTCAGCAGTGGCTTCAGCGGTCCTGGAAGAGGATTTGACGGCTTTTCTGAGAGAGGCAATGGTATTGGTGGTTTCGATGCAAGGAACGATGGTGGTTTTGGAGCTGATAGTGACAGTAAACGTTTTGGTTCTGGAGGTGGCGGATTTGGACGAGCGTCAGGACGTACCGGAGAAGGTTAGAAGTTTGCCAGCTTCTCTTGATTACTGTTTGTGTTGAGCTTTGTGCCACTACAAGATTAAAAACCATTAGGGTAATCGGAAAGTCCTCCATCACCATTTTCACATTTTTCGGCAACGTTTTATTAAAGATGCGCTCTGACTTCATTAACTTTGCTCAGACTTTGTTCGCGTAATGTAGCGCTAACGCACTACCGTTGCGCTACCGTTGCTCTGGCCCTCTAGTGCTATAGACGGAAAATTGCTGTATTTCTTCAATACTACCTACTTTTCCCGTCTGGCCGCAAATCTTAGGCCCTTACAATACCTTACAAAGAGTGCAAAAGAAGGATTCACCCTAAGTGAATTTTGTAGATTGCTGATACATTCTCTAAATATTATTTCTATGTAAATGGACGTTTTTTATACTAATAGTTGAGCATAGGGCCCACTCCTTTCATAGTTTTCACACCTGCAAGTAATAAAGCAGACTGTTGGAAGTGCAAACGCCGCGCACATAGCGAAAAAGTCGCGGGGCCCGCCTCTTCTCCGCCGCGTTGCGGCGTCAGGTTGACCTCTCGTGAGTCCTAACCTTGCCCCGAAAATGCAGTCATAGGCTGATGCCGATCGGCGCCAGCGGTTGATGTTTCGGGAGAATATCAGAGGATGGGAGGGTAGAATGGTGGAGGAAAATATATTTGTCCAAATTAACAGTAGCAGAATAACAGTGGGGGTTTGCAATGCAGGCTGGACGAAAGAAGCATTTCGGCGTTTATGCTGGCGTCTTGCCAGTTACGAGAATCAAGGTAATGATTGACTAGGACTAGTTGTCCGATCCAATAGAAATGCTCTAGAGGCTCGGTGGAGATGGCAATTACGGTAAGCAGCCTCCCATCAGCATTCTGACAGCTGGCAAGCGCGCCATCCGACACACACCCTTACTATTTTATAACGTCTCTGATATGCACTTTCCCATTCTTACGTTTAGTCTCAAAAACACTAGCGCACACCGTTTGACACTTTTACTTCTATGCTCTCAGGCCGCGTTCATACATGATGCAGAAATGCGGAATATGCAGAACTGCGGAATTTGCAGAAAGGAAATATATACGTATCGATCTGAAAACTGCATTTCTTCAAATTCCGCGGAATTTGCCGACATGCAGAAATGACGGACAAAGAATTGATAGGGATCGATTGGTTCTTCCCTGCCGTCGTGCGGAATTGGGAGAAATGCAGAATCTGCAGATTCTGCAGATTCCGCACGACGGCAAATTCCCGCGGAATTTGCAGAAATGACGGACAAGGAAGTGATGGGGATCGATCGGTCCATCGGCATTTCTGCAAATTCCGCACTTCTGCATATTCCACGGTTTTTGAAATCGATAGACATATTTTCTTTTTCTGCAATTCCGCAGTTCTGCTGGTTCGGCATTTCTGCATCATGTATGAACGCGACCTCAGAGGCGAGACGCGGTAACGCGCTAGCTGTCTGTGCCGATCGATACCCACCTACGGCTCCGCATCTAGAGCATTGAAGCGCCATTGCGATGGTAGCGCGTTATCGCAAGTCTAAACGCGGCACAGTTGAAATACGATTTGAGACAGCGAAATAATTCCGTGTTATCGGTGCCGCTTGTCTATTTCGTGAGCAATTGCAGATTTTAGATATTATTAAAGAGCTTAGATCAGATGGTAATTGGAAGGGACTAGTTTCGCAGAGTGTAGATATGGGGTAGTGCTCTCCAGCGGAGCTCCTGGATTCTTGCCTAGTCATTTGCTACATTGCGTGCACGGCTATCGAGGAAACGGATACCTCGCCGTTTTTGGTTGTTCTGGAGGGCTGGCTGGGGCGTTTCATGGTCTTCACAATAGTTTCTTAGGCAACGCTGAAGAACTGGAGAGCTGCCTCTTCCGTAAACTGCTTTCAGAAATATCATGGCCTCAGGAGGCAGTCACATATTCTTGCAGTAATGAAATATTGGGCCCATTTTTCATTCCCTGTGGCGCGCTTACCATCGCGCGGTTCGAATCCTGGGTCGACTCCCGCCCAGGCCAACCAAGCCTTCTACCCTCCGGGGACGGTAAATTGGTACCAGATTCGTCTGGGAGGATAAAACACTGACTTGTACATCGGCTGGCCCCGCAAGTCATTGTATAGGCCACATCGCATTCAATAAGCCACTACGATTCTGAATGGAAGTAGAATGCGTGCCGCATCCCACAAAGGGATTGATCAACGGCGAAGACTTTATCCTTTCAGCCAGTAATTTATGTACGGACCTACGGACCAAGGAGCAATGATCCAATGACGTCTGGCAGGGGTGATACCAATGACATTGTCCGAGCCGATGAGATTCTGAACAAAAAACCTTAATATTCCCTGGAAACCGAAGCAAGAAGGGTAATCTGTGGTGTTCGTTCGGTTGCACCTAAGCTTTGTTGGTTGTAAATGACTAGTGCTGTTTGGCTTCCACTGGGAGCACTGTTCCTAATTTTGTACTTATGACGGTTATCCTGAATGTTCCCCAGTTGCAAAATATTCGGAAGGAAGACGCCAACGAGTGACTATGGAATAGTGAGCCCCATCACTTCTGAATCCAACCTATATAAATTTGACTGTAGTTCTTCAAGGAGGCTCTTGTAGGAGTTGAACGACGGTTGTATTACAGGTGAAAGCAGGTGGTTTCATGAAATCCTTACATAAATCGCCTTCGATAAAATATGGATTCATTTACGCAGGTTAACGAACAGATTGTCATATAGCTCACTACAACAAGGCACTAAACATTTGAACGAGATGAGAAACTCGTGCGGGGATTTCCGTTCAACCTAATACTTGCGAACTTTCACAGTATTTCAGGCCCGTCAAAGTGTTACAACTGCGGCAAAGCTGGTCATCAGTCGCGCGACTGCAACGAGTTCGTGCAACCTCAGAACAATCAAGGTACATATTTATTTTACAGAGCAAGTAGATCCTGTTCTGAACAGTGAATTTACTATCTATCCACTTCTCCATTCGCTAAGAGCAACTGTGAATCTGTTACTTTTAGCGAAGCTGTTGGTTAGTATATCTCGAACAGTTATGTATTCATTTGAGTATTTCTCTTCAGGACGCTCTTTTGGTGAGTCAGGCGGTGCTTCTAGTGGATTCACCAGAAGATCTTGCAGAAGATTTGATGACAGTGCTGATAGCGGATTCTCGGGAAGCGCGAGAAAAGGTGGCAGTTTCGGTGACAGTTCGTTAAGCAGATACGGTAGAGAAGAAAGCGGAGACGACTTCAGCAGTGGTAGAGGATTCGGAAGGGACAGCGAAGGAAAAGGTTAAGCACAGCTTCCAACACTTTAAACAGGAAAGTTATAAGAAAATACATAGCTCCCCACATTCTATGTATAAGTCGACTTGCAAATGGCGAGATGTTGTTTGTTAAAGACACATGGTACGATCACACAGGGTATAGGACTTTCTTAAAAGATCTCACATCACACCTATCATGCCTGCCGGGGAGACTGGCCTGCGGTGTTGCCAGAGTTAATTGCTCTCTCACTAACGCCTGACCTTTCCTCTACTTGATGATTACATCGTGATGACAATCTATTAGAGCCGATTTTTCAGCAAATTTAATAGAATTAAACGTAGAAAATGCAGAAAAAAGATATGTTTTCATAAATTTAAAATGTGAAGAACACATTTAACCACTTAGAGCAAATAAGTGCAGACGTAAACAACATGAAATTACGGCAATTTAAATAAAAATAAAGAGCACGTATTGGAAAATTTTCGACGGTTTCATCATGAAAGGTATCCCAGATGATTTTCACTTCTAGGCTGTGTAATTATTTGAAGGTTGAATGTGTCTTGCGTCAAGAACTCACTCTTCAATTTTTTCAGAAAAATAATAGAATTAAGGAATACAATTGAAAATTTTGAATCGCATGAAACAATCTAGGATGAAAAGCATGCTAATAATGAATTAAAATGAAACACATAAATTAGGCTTAGATGGTGGTATTAGTTATGAATCGAGACATTTTTCTGCAATATTCTTCTACTTCCTCTTGAGATACGCCATTTCGAAGGCATGCATCGAATCTGAAAGTAGCAATGGAGAATCAGCAATGGAGGATCATGATGAAATCAGGGAAATTTCAAATTTACTTCCTCATTTCCTCTTCTATTTTATCCCTTCGGTCTTTATCCCTTGTCAACAGAACCCTGGCATTTTCCGGCTTCTGAGAAAGAGAAACTCAGACGAAAAAGTTCAATAGGAGGCCTTTAAACCGTCACCTCCTCAAGACGCTTGAGAGCTGATGGTGGATATGACAAAGACACTGGCGCGTTAAGAGAAGGAAACGGAGTCAAACCGATCCCATCGAAATGCGTGGCATCGAGGTGAGTGCTTCCATTGAAAACATAAAACGAGGGAAAGGGCACAGGCATAGAAGTGTACTGCTCCCGCAGAGACGATGAGGTTGTGTACAACGAAGAAACATGGGTTGAGTTAGTAGTGCTTTGTGCGACATCAAAAGGATAAGAAAAGGTGTACAAGGGAGAGGGAGTGATGTACTGCCGGAGAGATCAGGAAAAATGGAAGGGTTGGTGGGATGAGAGGAAAGGAAGTAAATGTTATCGTTCATGCTCTACTGTGCGTTACACAACAACAGTGCTAAAGATTTCCGCTAATCAGCTCGCTTAAATACTGACTAGCGACGACCTTTATATAAGGTGTGAGGTTGATAAAAGAGTTGCCTTGAAAGTGCTGACGGTCATATTTGACGAATTAACCTCCCTTCAGAGGGGCATCAATAGAGTCATTGCAATTACAGTTCTGAGTGAGTTCTTGACGCAAGACACATTCAACCTTCAAATAATTACACAGCCTAGAAGTGTGAAAATCATCTGGGATACCTTTCATGATGAAACCATCGAAAATTTTCCAATACGTGCTCTTTATTTTTATTTAAATTGCCGTAATTTCATGTTGTTTACGTCTGCACTTATTTGCTCTAAGTGGTTAAATGTGTTCTTCACATTTTAAATTTATGAAAACATATCTTTTTTCTGCATTTTCTACGTTTAATTCTATTAAATTTGCTGAAAAATCGGCTCTAATAGATTGTCATCACGATGTAATCATCAATTAGAGGAAAGGTCAGGCGTTAGTGAGAGAGCAATTAACTCTGGCAACACCGCAGGCGAGTCTCCCCGAGAGGCATGATAGGTGTGAAGTGAGATCTTTTAAGAACACCACACACCCGATCACACATAGTCTGAGTGTGCGTGACTATCAGCCCCCCAGCTGTCGAAGCGTAGCGGTTTCCCCGTCCTAACATGCGCAGGAATGGAGATACAGGACCGTGAAACACGCTAATTCCTCCATGCTCCGCCCAATGCCTTTTGCGGCGCAGACTCCCGTTCATGCTAACAGCCGTCGTGTGCGCGCGTGTCGCGTGCGGCACTCTTGGCACTTTGCCAAGTCCTGTAATTGCGCTTTGGAATACAAGTAAAACGCAATTTCCTGATGCGGATAACATTTTAGGTGCTGCAAAATAAGAACCGAAGATGATGACGAGGGCCAGAACTCAAGAGCAACTGTGCTGCTTCTGCAATATCCCTCGGAGGCCGCGCATTCCCACAAAACATGAAAATAAAAACGGCCTAAGCGTCCCACTCGTTAGTTAAAGTATTTTTATGGCTTTGGAGCCGGAATCGCGCCGAATTGCAGAAATTTACACGCGATTTCAATTAATTTGCATTTCCTTAATTTTTTCATTTTTGTTTTATTTACATCTACATTCGTTGTTCTTCATTTCTAGCCTTTGTCATCTTCATCACCTTCTATTCGGACTTTGCAGCATGAGCAACACCTCAAATGTTATCCGCATCAGGAAATTGCGTTTTACTTGTATTCCAAAGCGCAATTACAGGACTTGGCAAAGTGCCAAGAGCGCTGCGCGCGACACGCGCCGCGCGGACGGCTGTTAGCATAAACGGGAGTCTGCGCCGCAAAAGGCATTGGGCGGAGCATGGAGGAATTAGCGTTTCACGGTCTCTGTATCTCCATTCCTGCGCATGGGGAGGGGCTGATAGTCACGCACACTCAGACTATGTGTGATCGTACCATGGTGTCTTTGAGAACTGGAAAAACAGTAAAGAATGGTGACTTCTTGAGAAGCGTGACTTCTGATTCATTGCGATTTTCAGATCGCCCATCTGGATGTTTCAATTGTAAACAAGAAGGTCATCGATCTAGTGATTGTCCTTTGCCTAAAAGTAGGTTGTGTAAGGTGTTGCTTGTTCTTAACCATTTATTTATGTACCCTTATGCTACTAATTGGTTGGAAAGCTCTTTTGTGTTGCTTTCCGCATGCTTCTGTTTTTTATAAATCATTCTCCTGGTATTCAGGTAATGCCTGTTACAACTGTGGTGCAGAAGACCACATCTCTCGCGAATGTACAGTACCTCCCAGACTGCGAAGGATTGAGAACGATGAAGTGCCGAGAAAGCCTCCTTCTACCTTTGTTCCGAAGGATGAGGACGTTGAGGTGTTGTTCAAGGATCACATAGAGCAAGGCGAAATGTTTACTAAGTTATTCGAAGCTGACGTAACGTTAACTGAAGGTGGATTCCATGGAAGATCCGAAAAGGGCAAGCAGATAAAGTGAGCATCTTTCAGTATCCGTGGTAAAGGTTGATTCATCCCTTGAAATTCCGTCATGTACACAGTTCAGTTGCTGTATGTGGCTGCTCATTTTCCAGATCTTTTGAAGAATTAGAGTTGACCGAGCAGTTAGCGGAGAATGTCGTGAGTGCTGGATACAAGCATCCAACTCCTATCCAACAATATGCTATGCCTGCTATTTTCAAGGGTCGGTATTCATATCTCAATATCCAAGTTTTGGCATTGCTCTAATTTCAGTATCATGCTTAAAGGTCTACCTTTTTTGTAGTCAACGTAAAGAACAGTCTATTCCGCTGTAGTGCACAGACAGGCCACGAGTTCAGCTTCTTATAGGCCGTGATATTATGGCTTGTGCTCAAACTGGCTCTGGTAAAACAGCTGCATTCTTGTTGCCAGTCATGACAGCTCTAATGCGAACTGGAAACTTGAGTAATGCTGCAGAAAGCACATGCTGCCCAAGGTCTGAATGATATCTATGGTGTTCGGAGCAGTTGTGATGTTAATAGCTGTAGGTGTCTTATCATTGCACCTACTCGTGAGCTCGCTGTGCAAATCTATAACGAAGGACGAAAGTTTGCGTACAAAACGGTGATACGCGTCGCATGCTGTTATGGAGGGACCGCTATAATGGCCCAGCGTCAGTCCATCCGTGTGAGTATTCTTGTGGTTTGTTCTACTGATGATTCACTCATGATGTATCTAAGGACTTCAGGGCGCCACAATACTTGTTGCTACAGTTGGACGTCTAAAGCATTTCATTTCTGAAGGTTATATTTCACTCCGAGAGGTTTGTCAAACATTTTTTTTGTTCGGTTGGAAAGAAACGCCTAGAACTCTTTCAATGAAATAGACTTGGCTTTGCGCACGTGAAACGATACCATCGTCTAACAGGGCAGTAATCAGTTATCATCGATTTAATTATGTCTCGGGTAGCTTCTCGACTCCATTATCTCAGAGTTGCGACAACTGTGTTGGAAAAGACCTGATTTTCGAATGAACGTGGATTATTGAATTTTTTTTTGTTTCCTTGTAGATGCGGTCAGAACTTTAGAAGAACCTGCTAAGTCTGGTGAATGATTCGGGAGCGGTCCTATTCCCTGATCAGAAACTACAGTCTTTCGGTATAGCTTCATTGGCCCATTAGGGTGCGCGTTGTCGCTGAGTATGAAACCTCTGGGTCGTATTTATTTAGCTCCAGGTAGTACGTGGGCATCTTTCCAAGTTTGTCACGGTAGGCTGTCAGCTATATTACTATCCTGCCATATCACTTCAGTAGCATCAACAAAACAGTGTAACCGTTTTTTACGCTTTCCGCTTTTGACACCACTAGCAGCTCTTCTCTTTGAGAACCTATGGAGTTTATTCGCATGAATAGGAGACGTAGGGGAACTGGCTTTCATTACCAATTACGTTCGATAGAAAATCTTCCTACTGCGAATATTATTGGTGTGCGACGGGAGCTGAGAACGGGTGATAAAGTTTGGCTGTTCGCAATGACACATCGTAGATATTGGTCTGGAACGACTTTGTTACTGTTACCTGACAAGAAGCATAGAAGAAGGATATACAGCTCGTTTGGTTTCCGTCTAAGGGCACGTGCGAAACGGAAACCAAACTATCTCCTTATGTTGACCCCGTGTAATAATGATTAATAACCAAGCGTATGGTTAACCAAATGTTTTATAGAATAAATCTAAATGCTACCATAACTTACTGTAATATATTACTCATCAAGAACAGGGGAGAACTCACACACTCAAATAAGGCTCGGTTTATTTGCTGCGTTAGATGAGCATGCGTGAAGCGGAAGGCGCAGGGAAAACATCCTTGAGAGAAAGAGATTATGCAGTCGTGGACTCAAACCACATAGGCACATAAATAGAGCGAGAAAATTGATGGCAATGTCAGGTCGCAGTACAGCGCGGCCGTTGGTGGCAAAGTGAGGAGACGCGACCCAAGTCAGAACTCGTGCGCCCATACTACGCGCTCGTGAGCTCAGTAGTGCTGCCCTCTGGGAGGCTGTGGATCTGTTTTGCGTGGGAACGGATTCTGTTTTTCAGGTAATCGCGCTATATGTCTTCCAAAGCCTGTTCGCAATCAGTGGTGGTAGTTAGTGAGGAAGAAATACTACCGGCAAGGTGCTAATTAACCCAGTCGTGAAGAGAAGATGGGAAGAGACGTTGTGAAATACCTTAGATAGGGGAATTACGCCGAATCGAGCTTGTACGAGCATACTGTGGTGAGACTGAGTTCTTGGACGATTTCTCACCTGTCGAACTCTCATCACGCGGAATGAAGGGGCTAGTAGCGAGCAATCTTATTAATAGGAATCCTTCAGGGATGAAACGGGCTTGGAATGGGGCATTATCTTTGTCGTGATTGAGTGGCGTCGTTGCTGCACACTTTTAAGCCGGTCCATCCTGGTTGAGCTGCTCCCTCCTGTGCGCTTGCGGGCTGCATTGTCCAAAGACGGACATTCGAATGAACGCGGAATCTCTTTAATCACACCCCAAAATATCTACATATTCAAATGCCTATTCGGTCATACAACGCCGTAGTGATAGGAGTTTTGGATGGCCTAATATTAATTCGATAACGCGGATGGCATAGACACTACATCGGCACTCGTGACAGCTCTATGCTGCTAAGGTCACCTATAGTCTGAGGTGCTGTGATGCCCCGACTGATAGAGTTTTCAGCATTCTACCTTTTTGATCCTCGGCGTTCAGATCAAATATCTAGTTTTGGATGAAGCCGACCGGATGTTAGAGTTAGGATTTGAAGCTTCGATGAATTTCATTCTAAATCATCCATCATTGGCAGCAAAAGAAGAACGACAAACTTTCATGTTCAGGTCAGCGTTGCTTACATAATAAGAAACATTTTTCGAGATAGTAATCGTCAACTTTCGGCAGTGTTTGTGATTTCATAGCTTATACTACCTTTGTGCAGTTGGTTTCTGTATTGTATGCAAAATACCCCAGAATTCTTGGTAATTTCTAACTAATCCAAATGCAAACCATGCTTTTTTTCGATGTCGCAATCTTATCGTGAAGGTGAATATTTCACATTTTGTCCTCATGCCATCGTTATTTTAAGTGCAACTTTCCCACCTGATGTGCAGGCAATAGCGGCTCAGCAACTAAAGTCCGACTTTTTGATGATTGCAATAGGAAAAATTGGCGTTGCTAATAAGTGTATTACCCAGGTAAGCATCCAACACAGCCACTCTCACTGTTTTTAGTAAATTTTCGCGCATTTGTTAAGGAAATTATCGAATGTACCTCTGTTGCTGACAAGAAAGAAAAATTCTTCGAACTTTTGAACATAGACCTCAAAAACTACGAAATACATAAAGGTATGCCGTTTGATATTTTAAATGAGAACTACTCGCTTTAGTTTACAGACCTTGTATGACAGAAGGTACCTTTCCTCTGAAATCCATTTCAGTTAGTTAGTTGTTTATGGCATACCTCTTCGCACCGTCATATGCAGGGTTACTCTCGATTAACTGGCTCGCCTGTGTGCACTATCACCACCATTCTTGATGACTCTCAACTTTTTTGTCATTCTCAGTGAAGACATATTGTACACTCACACATCAGGGCAGTCTTGTACATGTGCGAGATAATTGGGAATCCATTCATCTCATGCATGGCAAGAAGCATGACACAGAGGTGAGTGCGCAATTTGCCTTTAATGAAGGATTATTCCCACTCTTCAAAAAGTATCCGGTAAGGCTCCCTTTTTTCGCTTTTTAGAAGATCTCCATGGTATCTCAAAACCAAGTACTTTCCTATAATTTGAATCTGCTGAAATTGCTATCAGTAGGAAGGGTACGTTTAAGAAAGGAAAAACCTTCAAAAATCTGGCTCGATCTTTCCTGCCTACCCAGTGCATTGCAGTCTTCAAAAAAGAAAGTAGCAGTGGCCACTTCCATTGACGTGCTGGTAAACAACACTCACTGTATGTAATTTGCTAAGTCTGTTCATTTGTTCGTTTGATTGTCCGGAAACTCGTTTCTACTGATGAGCAATCGAAGAGGTCGGGTCAGTTGGGGTGGATAGCGCAATATATGCAGAGCACACGTGATCCATGTGAAACCCGCTCGCAGTGGGCGGGGCATGCGCCGAAAGGAGCGGTGCCACAGGCAAAAATTTGTAACTCTTTTCTAGAGCAGCCCTGAGAGAGGGAAGAAGTGGCCTAGGGTCGCTGGTTAGGCTACACACGCCCAAAACGTGTGCAGTGTATCTGAAATGGGCGTGCTTCTCACAAAGTAGAGAAACTCGGTTCTCGAGGGTGTTTTGGAGATCGTTTTGGGTAAAGAGAACTTATGGCGAGATTTGAGCATGAATGTGATGTGTTGAGACCTGCACATAGAGTGCGGAGCGTACCTTAGGATCTGGTTATTGTTTCACAAAATTGTACATCTGATCCAGAGCACCCTAGAGAGAAAGGAGGATTATGATCAGTAAGAAGTGAGTGATTGAGAAGCGGGAAAGTGGGAGCGCGATCAGGTGGGCGCGGTCCAGCTAAAAAATTTACAAAACCGTTCTAGAGCATCCCAGACAACGGGAAAAGTGGACTAAGATCAGTAAGGGGGCAGCGGACGGGGAGAGGGAAGCACACCTTACGCTGGCTAGACGGGTTCAGCGCCGAAATTCCGTATTTCCGTTTCCAACAGCTTCGAGACCGTGAAAATGAAGTGAAAGTCAGCAGTAGTTAGGGGAATGATGTGGGAGAGGCACACCCGGAATGGGCAGAGCGTAGGTGTGTGGGGGCGAAGTCAAAAATTCATGGATCGGTTCCAGTGCATTCCAGAGATCGGAAAAATGAGCAATGATGTGCAGCAGTTTGAGATGAGAGGGGCAGGCCTATCGTTTGCGGAACATGCGCCGAGGTGGGTGGGGCAAAAAAAGGGTGCGGAGCAGCGTACGCACCAGGGGGATTGCAACACAACCGCTGTCCTGTAAGAACACACGGTCAACGCTACCATTTGTGCCGCTTAGCTCAAGAGACCCGTGGAAAGTGTTGGAGAAAAATGACCGATACTAGCTTCGGGGCACCTCGCTCTGAGACCCCATTTTTCTTTGGAGACCTACTAAATAATTAAGAAGCAAGGCTGAGAGACCAGACCCGCTCATCGTATTCTACTGACATAAGCTCCTAACTGCTCCGCTTCCTTAAGGCTTTCTTAGCTGAGAAAACTGTTAGCAAGTTTGATGACACTAGTCGAGACCGCCGACTTACTCGACTCGCAGCCTCTGCAGTTACGGGAGAAGGGGAATGCTTACCCGCCTATAAGGTGGAACGCTGCAGTGGCTAACAGTGCCGAGTGTTGATTAATTTCCATTGTATGTTGAGTCAGAAAATGAAAAAGAAAAAGTCACAGCAGTGACACAGAAGCAGGCTCGCCGGCGTGAGCCTGCGAACCGGCTGTTTGGAATCAAGTGATTTAAGAACTCAACCAACTTGAATGACATTGGCTCAAGTCAACATAATGAAACAAACGAAAATCCTTTCTTTATACTGCATCGATTTCTGCTCTCGTTGGCGCTCTCTATAGAATAATTCCATGACCAGTTGCCTCCAACTTTTCGCATTTGGTAATTGACTCATTCACCGTACCCGGTCTCCGCGTTCGCCATATTTTCTTTTGCTGCTTTCGATTTGTGGTCACTGTAAATTATTTGTCTCCTAATTTCTGAGAAAAGGGATCTCTGACCTTACCCATGAGGTGACACAGTGCAATGGTAACGGCGGTCATCATGTGGCTGAATGATCTATTGGATGTTGTACTAGAAAATGAAGAAGCTGCAGTGACAAGGTTTTCATGAGTCCCTGATAATTTCGAATTTGTCTCTGCTTGCCGAAACCGTATGTGGGGGGGGGGACAAGGAGATGTATCACATACGAAACGGAACTCGTGCAGCAGCTGGTGTATTAAAGGCGTTGTGAAATGCATACGTTTGCAGTAGGTTCTTTAGTGTCTCTCCTCTAGGTCTACTGCAGTTCTTTGAAACGACTTGTGCTCTCACTTGATTCGTTCAATGGTGACTTTCTTTCATACGTAGCTTTTTTCAGAAGCCGATGTATTCAAAAAGAAAACGATTGTGTTTGTCACACGCAAGCTGTTTGCGGACACGCTTGGGGTTTTGCTTAGTGAATGTGGTATTCCATCGACAACAATCCATGGGGATCGATTTCAGAATCAGCGTACGGAGGCAATTAATGAGTTCAAATACGGGAAGAAACCGGTGAATTACAATTATTTTAATTGTGATCTCAGGACTTCATGAAATTCTCCATTGTCGGGTGTAGTCCAAAAGAAGGTCAACAGATCGCTCTGTTTTTTTGCCACATAAAGGTCAAGGCCTCCACGTCAGTGATACGTCTATACTTACCTGCTCGTTGAAGTTGAACAACTTGAAGGGGGTCAAAATGATACTGTATCCCTGCCAAGAGTGCGCTCAGAATACTAACACTACCAGTGGGACTTCATTTTCACGCTCACGCTTGCAATGGACCCTTTACAAGGTGTGAATACTATGCTTTCACACAAAAGGTTCGTGTTTTTTTTTCAAGCTACCAAAACACCCATTGCTAACATCTGATCTAGTTCAGTCTAGCGTCAACACCCCTATTGAAGAAGGTGATAAGGGAGGAAACCCTCATGAGTCTACGGATAATCGCTGAGCAACTGTCTGGAACAGATTCCAGCTCGAGCGCACCCTTTAGAGGCGTAAAGATCAATGTACATCATACAGCAAATCGCTGAGCGCCATGGTGACATACTGCTGGTTAACTGTAGATTTTTAGCGATCTGTTGGCCTTCTTTTATCAATATTACCTTTTTACGAGGAAATGCCTCCGCCGTTTTTTTCAGTTTGTCGTGAAGATCTGATTATTAAGGTATTAATTGCGACCGCAGTTGGTGAGAGAGGACTGGACATTAAAGGTATAGACCATGTGATCAATTATGATTTGCCTTCTAATGGGCACGATTATATCCATCGCATCGGAAGGTATATCTGATCTTTGACTGTGGTTCATCTTTCTCCACTCCCACATTTTCAATTCCATTTAGAACTGGGCGTGTAGGTAATCCCGGCCGTGCCACATCGCTCTACTTGTCAGATGAAAACAGAGAGTTGGCACAGACTCTTGTGGAAATACTCACGGAAGCCGAGCAGGTCCGTTTTCGCGTAGAATACTTTGGCATGGAATCAAGAAAACTGACAGCTTCATACATCGAAACACTTCATGTTTTCTTGGGAAAGCTTCGGGAATCCATACAGCGCCGCGTATTGGTTTCTAACTTTTCTCTTCCCGAACCCTGCTATTGTTGTGAACTTTGATGGTTTCTCTTCCTCTATGCGAAAACGAGATTGTTGCGATTTTTTTCATTTCTTCTCCGAGTTCGATGGGTGGTTTAACGACAATGTTACACTGGAAGTTGACAGTCCCTGAATCCCAGTGAATATGCTAGTTTTTGAGGTGACTAAGGGTGGGTTTCCAAATTCGTCCGTTTTTTCTTGTCATGTAAATACATGGTTAATTATAAGGTTAATTACTTTGTTCGAAAGGTCTTCGAAATTGATTGCCGAACTTCTCGATAAGGTAGCATACAACGGAGTTACGTCATGTCGTTGGCCTGTTATTCATAGATATTATCATTTCTAATGATAGGTTGAACTCCCGTGTTCGAGTAAAAAGGTAAAGTGATTATAGTGATAACATCCCACCAACTGGGGGGGGGGTCACTAAAAGATTTCGCACAGCGATGCTGCACCCTGACTATGGGTGGAATTGTTGTCTTATCCACTGATTCCAGGCCTTCAAATCTCGGTAACCTGAATCAATTTATGACACACATTGCAGCACGTGCCAGAGTTCCTTGTCAATGATGCAAACGGAGGGTGTGGCAGGTTTGGTGGATTTGGAAGATTTGGAGGAGGAAGCGAAGCGGTTAACGCGACAGAAGAGGAAGAATGGGATTGACCTCGTGGAAAATATGTTGTTTTCGTAGTGCGTTATCTCCGAAGCTTTACTAACGTTTTTCTCATGTTCTCGTTTTGTTTCCTTGTACTTTTCATTTTAGTACCTGCATGCATTACATTACACTTTGATTTGCTGAAGGAATGAATATTCTTTATTTTATATTCGGCATATTCAATACTAGTCTTTGTTGCGCGGTAGCAGCCGTGTTCCCTTTCTCCAAGAGGTTATGTGTGTGCGAAGCCCGCGTTCAAAAATGATGGGCTACGCGGTCTTCCCTCCCTTGCATGTGCTCAGCTGGAATGGAGCACGTGCAGGGTAGGTACAGGGGGGATGATGTTGGGCGAAAGAGGTACGATAAGGAGGTGGGAAGCGCATGCTTGGAGCACACAGCAACAGAGGAGGATCGCTGGCAGAAATGCATGCTGATCCATAATAGTAAGAAATCGTGATGCCGTTTCGATTGCGATAGTACCCTTCACCCCCTTATATGAGACACTTTAGTACCTCCCAGCCATCGCACATAGCTCGCGTGGCAGCTGGACGTGAGCTCGCGTGTGGGTGCTCTATATATTACGATTCAATCAAAATAGCGCAGTATGAGCAGCTAAGTGAATGAACAAATTTGTTTCCATTATGAAGTACGCCTGGCAAAGCCAAGCCAACTAAGGAGAAGGAGGAGAGCTCGGCGTCAGCCGGGCGATCCGACTGGTAATATTAATAAATTGCAAAGGATATGTTTCAAAGCATGAGACATTGGTGTCAGCAAGAGAGGCTGCTCCATGTTATAGCAATAATATATCTGTTGCTGAATCCCTCTAACCAGGAAAGGTCAACAGGTCAGCCTGGCCATTTGCAATGAGATGCACATCGTTGTACCCGTCTTGAGACGGTGAACTCAAAACTATCTTCAAAATTTGCGGAACGATTCTCTGAGCGGAGTTATGGAGGTTTTTCTTTACTGTTTTTCTTCTTACGGGCGCGCTGGCGCCGAAGCGTTGGCACATGTAGCGCGACTCACAGCGCTCTTCGCGCAAAACAGGTATCATATTCGTGTTCAGGGGGTCAAATAACCCCTAGGGACGTCACCTTAGCGAAATCTGAGGTTCTGACTCAACTTCGAAAAAAATGGGGTATGGATAGTCATGGCTGACTGATAGCCAACAGCGATACTACGACTAGCATACTGGTGATGACTGGTCTTCGAACTGAAATAACTCTTCAGTCATGTCTTTTTGCAAACAACAGTACCTGGCTTACTCATCGATGGTAGGTGAGCTCCAATCTGCTGCTAATTACCCATGGAATAGCCCACATTTTCCAAGTGAGGTCGAAATATCAGATTCGGCTAGAAACTTGTCCCCAGGGGTAATTTAACCCGCTGAACATGAATATGATGGTATTTCATTGCAAAAACCCTTGTGACACGTGTTACGAGGGGTACAAGCAGAAGCACTCTTTCAGGCCACAATGAGTCTACACTTTCAAAAAAAAACTGATCGCAGGTTCCCTTATAAGGTAGTGCAGGCGAGCAGAGATGTTAGAAGCTTTGTCGGCTATGTTCTTGGACAAATGCAAAAAAAGGACCTGCCCCGGAACCGATCCTACGACGTCTCGCCTAAGAAACCCGCTCCCTACCCGTTGCGCTCTACTACCACGTTTCAGCATGACTCCATACATAAATGTAAAGACGCTTCCACGTTTCCTCGCGATAGCATGTGAAACGACCACGCGGGGATAAGACCATCTCCGTTCAGAGAATCGTTCCGCAAATTCTGAAGGTAGATTTGAGTTCACTGTCCCAAGACGCGTACAACGGTGTGCAGCTCATTGGAAATGGCCAGGCTGACCTGTTTAATTCCTGGTAAGCATATTACACATTTTCTTCAGAATAGATCGCCGGTTGCTTGCTACCGGTCAGACCACACACATTGATCATTACGACCACCATTATGAGCAAAAAATACATATGGACTTAGAGGGGCATTAAGGGGCAGCAATAACCGTCGTCCGTATAGTATTAGGTTGTCAGCGTTTTGAGTGTTTCACTGAACGATCATAACTTTCTCAATACTCATCGGATTTAATCGAAATAAGCACCGTTCGAATCAGCACACTTTTGCCAATGTGACACCAGTCGATAAATCCCATCAAAGAAAAAAACTGGGTGGTCGAGAATCCACGAAGGCTTTTTTGCCTGGTCCTGATTGATGAAGTATTTTCCAGCAAGGAAGTTCTGAAAATGTTTGAAAAGGTGATAGTCGGTTGGTGAAAGGTCTGGAGAATATGGCGGGTGAGGTAGAACTTCAACCCCAATTCGTTCAATTTATGGATAGTGATTTGTGAAACGTGTGGGCGGGCGTTGTCATGCAAAAGAATCGGACCCTTTCTGTTGACAAGTGCTGGCTGCAGCTGACGCAATTTTCGGTACATTTCGTCGATTTCTTCACAGTAGGACTCTGCTGTGATGGTTTGGCCTGGTGACAAAAAGTTATAGTGGATCACACCAGCCGATGACCACCACACTGTGACCATAATCTTTTTTTCGTGAGGGTTCGGCTTTGAAAATTACCTCGGTGGTTCGTCGAAATCCAACCACTGTCCGGAACGTCTCCTGTTATCATACATGATCCACTTTTCATCACAGGTGACAATTCGGTCCAAAATTCTGTTGCGCAAAAGCAGTGAAGAAGAAACCTCGAGACGTGCCAATTTCTGCCGGTCACTCAAATTGTGGGGCACCCACTTGTCGAGTTTTTTCACCTTCCCAATGCGTTTCAGACCATCCGCAACTTTGCCAACGCCTAGCTTTTCTGCAATCTCTCGAACTGTTTGGGATGGGTCAGCCTCCACAAACGCCTTCAAATCCTCGTCAGGTATTGCTTTAGGTCGACCGCTACGAGGTTCATCTTCAAGGCTGAAATCTCCAGAACGAAATTTGTCGAACCATTGTCGCACGTGCTTTCTCCAACACTATTGGGCCCCCACACCTGGTTAATTTGTCGAGCTGTCTCGACTGCGGATTGACCCAATTTGTAGTTGAAGAAAAATATCGTCCGGTTGCTCTTTTGACATGCTTCAAAAAGTCTTGGGAAAAGGGGGTTCAGGCAATGGTGAAACGGCAATTATACCATCAGATAGCGCAAAAATTCTCTTCAGGATGTACTACTGAGACGCAAGGGAGAATGAGTTTTAATCAGCAATGAATGTACAAAAAATAGTAACACAAACGCTGAGAACTTTCCGGACAATCTAATAGTACGTATAGTAACCAGCAATATTCAGGGCACCGGTGGGTTCCGATAGCAATCCAGAACAGTAAGTATATTGTGACGTGCCAGAGAAGCGCAGTCCCTGAAGAGTCCGGCTTCTTCTGCCGCCTTGGTCTGATTGCACCCTGTGAAAGGGCAACTGTATTCGGAGCCCTTTCAAGCTGTTGAAGTTCCCTTGTGAAAGCAGCAGCGGAAAAGAGGCTTGAGCAAGAAGGACAGCTATAAATCAGCAGACTGGAGAACGAACGGGACGAGCTATGGGAAGGTTCTTGCTTCCACAGATAGGCACGGAATCTGAGATGAACGAGGCTCCGTGGGTACCACGTGTGTTTTGTGAACAAAATGGCGAATATTTTTCGGATTCGTGACCTTACCGACGGGAACGAGCACAACTATTTCATCCGGCAGAACGAAATGGTTGTGCTCGTTCCCGTCGTGAGGCCTTTGTCAATATTGTTTGCTAATACGCTTTCGTTTCCATTGAATTCTTTATAAATGCCCGAATATACGCTTTGACATATTATCACTCGGTTCAGTGGGAAGATGGGCAAAAAACCAGTGAGCTTGAATTAGTGCTATACTTCTCGGAAAATTCCAAAAGCTTTAACTTCCCAAGTTTATAAGTCACCGAACCTGCCGTGGCAGTAGGTCATACAGAATACGTGCAGGCACCTTTGTTTACAACAGTTTGCATTCGGATTGCAAACAAAATTCAAGAAGAAATGTGCATTGCTGCCAAAATGTACAGAGAAACACATGAAGCGATTGAAAGATATCAAACAGATTACACCAGCGAAGTGTAATTTTGGCGTATAGTCGCATAGGAAAACGTCATGCGGATATGAAGACTGTTGACTAATCTTTGAGCGCTTGTTGGATGAAATTCAACATGCTGGCATCCAAGTGAGCGGCACCGTCTGACGAGCGAATGCCATGTCGTTCAGAGGGAAACAACTGAAAATTATTTATAAATTTTCTTGTCCAGCATAAAACTATTTCACATGATTTCAGAAGTTCGTCTATCCCACTGAGATCATCAGCGGCCATTCCTTTCAGTTTTCCGGAAAGGTCTTGAAATACTCTTTCACTTGAGCTTTAGAAAATGGGATTTAACAAAGACTTCATCAGATTTGGGAAGAATGGTGTAATCTAATCGCTGTTCATGGTAAATGTGGTGAGTTGGGTGAGAAGAATCGCGCGTACCATAGATTACCTCAATAAGTGGGCCCAGCAAGGTCAGGCACGTCGTGGAAAACTGGGAGTAGGGTGGTACGACCCCTCCTCCCTAGAAAGGCGTGTCTCATGTACCCCCCCCCCTTAGTGAATGTGGAGTGTATGGAGGTATCCGTTTCCATGAGAATGTAGCTGTATGCAGGGAGGGGCAAAAAAAGACACTTTGGCTGAGTCACATATCAGTAAAGTTTACGCAGCCCAGACAGAAGACGTGGATACGAGTACCAGGGCGGAAGATACCCAAGATGTTCCTCGATAAGCAGGAGCAGGCTCTCGTCCATCACCTTCATGTACACCAAAATATGAAGCCATCTCCAATCGCAGCCTGACTGGAGAAGGCCTATGGAATTCACGTCACCTCCAAACAGCTGCGAAACTTCTTGTATGGAGTCACCCATGGACAGCTACCTGGAGACCGGCACTCTTGATCTGGAAGACCTCCAACATCGAGCAGCTCCGACAACGTCGCTACGGTCCAGGATATCATCTTCACCGCAGTCGCCAAGCGCGGGTTGATGGTATGGACGAAGTTCCTGGAATGGGAAGACTGGCGAAGGTGAACTGATGTCACATCGAACAGCTCGAGGAGGATATCCCGCCTTCTTGTCGTCGCCTGTACCGTCTTGGGAACTTCGTAAGGTAGTGTACAATGTGTTGTTGAATATGATGGTGAAAATGTCCAATCAGAATTTGAAGTGCAGCTTATATGTACAATTTTTCATTGAAAAAATTGATATAAATAATGCACAGTTGTTGCTCCACATAAGGATAGCGTGCAGCCGCAGGGCTGGCGTGCTTCTTTGTTGGGACTATCTTCTTCTACCCCATGTCTTCATCCTCCAGTTGTGCTGTCATTGCCTTTAGCGCTGCACCCTCGCCGTAGCACATCTTTTTCTTTTCGAATTCCCGTTTATGTGCTATACGTTCTAGAGTAATATGAGTCTCATCATTATCGCTAGTCATCGCTATCAGAATCAGATCCAATTGATTCAAGAGATCCACTGCCTGTAACATTGTGAAGATCTTCCGCCACCTCCTCTGGGTCTACAGCTCCCGCAAGTGATACCTGACGGGGCCGACTAGCTTGGGCAGAAGATTCGTCCTCATCTTCCGATTCACACTCACAGTCCCCCCGCCCCCCCCCCGCCCGGCCACGCCCCCTCCCACCGCCCCCCTCCCCCCCCCCCCCCCCCACCTAGCCCCCCGCCCCTAGACCCCCCCACCCCCCGCTCCCCTTCCCCCCGCCACCCCCCCCCCCCCCCCTCCCCGGCCCCACCACTCCCCCCACGACCCACCCCCCGCTCGCCCCCCACCCCCCCCGCCCCCCGCCCCCCTGACCCGCGTATCCCCCGCCCCCCCACGCCCCCCCCCGCCGCCACAAGTAAAATTTTGAGACTCATCGACCTTCACATTTCCATAGTCTTTATCTGTAGGATGATAAGCGACCAAAATGTTCATCTCATCGAAATGTGCCCGCCCTTCTTTGCCATCCAATGGAATTTCCTGCTTCATCTTTAGGATACTTTTCTTGGGTTGTCATTTCAAAAACTGCGTGCGATGTTCGACTCGAATCTTCCCATCGGGAGTCATGCGCTCGTCAACGTTTGGCTCATGACGTTGCCGTAGCAATTAATTGAAAATCTCAAACTTGGATGATACAACCTATATGGCCTGCAAGTCGAGAAAGAAAAGTTATGCGAATTTTGCCGAATAAGAATTGAGCATCCAGGAATATTTACCAAACCAGTCAAACAAAAGCACTCAAAACTAAAGAGATGAGTTCTCAAGAAGTAGTGCAATGCACGAAGTGAAACTTAGAAGCAAAACAAATTCAATTCAAAGCAGCTGCTAGTGTTGTTAATTCCACAACAGAGAAACCCTCCTTTGAAAATAACATGGCGCAAGATGAAACAACGTCATCGCATACATTTTTTGTGGAGTAGTCCTCGCAGGAACTTCTTTCATGGAATGTCTCATATCGTGCTGTGGAGAACAGTACACTAAACACTTCGCGACTAGAAATATGGGATCTACCTGTAGCTGGTAGGGCTTTCCGGCTTTGATGAGTTGCTCAATGAGTGCTTCGGTATGCCGAAAATGAACGTTTTCATCCAAAAGCCCATGGACAAGAAGAAGTCGGCCAGGTCTGAAACGAAGAGAAACTGCTGCGCGTTTATTTAGAGCAGAAAAAATAAAGTACGAGAGAATTTCTGAAATTTATTTTTCTCTAGAGACTGAATGGAAAATTGGAACTCCCATGAGAGTTGCCTAGATTTGTTGTAATTCTTAATTCTTTCAATACTGAAGAGAAACATCCGTGATTAAGCTTTTAGAAAATAAATCCTGAAGTATCACTTTATTCTAAAAACAGTAATTTTGTGTGTGGTTTGTCGTTATGTATGTATACTATGTATGTGTGTACGTATGGCAGGATCAGCCACCGAATCATGGCAGTGAGGATGGAGAGGAAGTGGATAATAGTGACCGTGTACGTACCCAAGCTGGTTGCCCCAGCTCGAGAAGGATGACTTCTACATGATCCTGGGGAGGCTATCAGATCGCTTCCAAGGGGTAATTCCAGAGGGTAAAAACAGTGAAGAGGACTATCCCACAGCAGCAGGTGATCTAAACGGCCACGTCGGTAGTGACAGAAAAGGCATGGCAAGGGTGCAGGCAGTACAAACGGAAGTCGACCATGTGCTTTTGAGGAGGTCATCCCTCAAAACTGTTAAAGACATCAAGGTGCTCTCCTGGTGTAGAACTGGGCCCTCAACAAAGAACCCTTCTGGCAGACATTGCCCTAGATCTCCCAAATAATAAGAGGGTAAAAACTGTGAAGAGGATACACTGATGGAAGTTACGCCAAGTGGAGAAAGACGAGCTCGGGTAGGATAAGAATGGTACGATCGCACCTCGTTAACGACTTCTCGCACCTGGATTCGAGGCATAATTAGCGAGGTGCGAAGAAACCTCATTAAGCCGATTAGCGAGGTGCGAAGCGACCTCATTAGCCGAGGCACGTCGTGCTCAACTGCAGCTGACCCTG